CAGCAGCAGGCGGACGGCGGGGACGCCGCGGCGCCAACCGCCTCCGTTGCGGCGGCAGAGGAGTACACCACCCGTGTGGCCGCGAAGGCTGCGCAGGATCTCAACCAACAGCAGCGGGCGCAAATAAATAGGGCAGCCAGCCCCGTCAAGCCGAAACCCGACTTCACCGTCTCGCATCGTGAACTGCTAGGCCGCTGCTGGGACTCGCGCAATGCGGAGCAGCTTCCCATCTCGCTCGTGTGCAACGCTGTGCCGGGTCTGCAGGAGGCCGTAATGAATCCCAGTGTTGGGCACACCTCCACACAGAACGATGGAGGCTCGCCCTCATTAATGCTCTCTTCACCAGAACTCCCCACAGGACAAACAGCGAGTCCATTTGAAACTAATCTTAAGCGATCATTCGGCAGTAAGCATACTATGCAACGTCGCTCGCATTGGGTTTCCCTTGTTGGCTCCGCCCAACCGACAACAACAGCAGCAACAACCCGGCATGAGGGGAAGAAGGAGCAGCAACAGCGGCGGTGTGGCGATGGGAACGACAGGGAGAAACAGCTTCTGCTGGACGTGGAATTTGCGGGCGCTAAAGATGTCTTCGCGTTGCGTCTCTCTGAAGAGCAGTCGGAAGAAAGAAGCGCGTCGTTCCTGCGAAAGCGGAAGATGTACGTTAGCCAGGGTGTGCAGGTGCATCGCTGGAACCGCGTGGAGTTCTTCTCCCCAAATATCCACACCTTCGCCCTCGCTGTGGCGCAGACGCAACCGCTTTCCATCGGATCCTCTTTCACGAGTGCATTCAACTTGTCCTTTTCCTGTGCGCGGCAAGAGCCAAGCCAGATCTGCTCCGCGAGGTCCGTGAACAACAACAACAACAATGTGTCGGCGCCAGTACTCCTGACAGAGAGTTTCTCCTCCAACGCCTCCCGCTCACTGCTGCAAAGCCACTCTCCCGTTGATGTGCCGCCGCACTTCCCCGAGAGCAGTCTCTACTGCCACTGCCTTGCATTACCAGCACACCGTATACAGGAGCTGCAGGGGGCGGCGGAGTCGAGGCTGCTTTCATCGCCGCTCTCGCTCTTTACCTCCACGCATGACGTGGTAAATGTCTTCGAGCGGCACGCTGGCTCCCCCGACGCGCCACCTCTGCAGCAGCCGCATATTGGGGCGAACGCGTCGCACCACGCCACCCTCATCACACCCGCAGCGGCCAACCCCACCACTGACGCGCAGAAGAAAAATAACAACGCAACGCCCTTTTCAGTGGAGAGTGCGCCAACAGCCACGATGGCCGTCTCGCCGCACCAAGATAATCTGCGCGGGCAGGGGTCAGGTCACATGGGGCCGCTTAGTGCAAGCAACCACGACCCTGCCTCGCCGCTGGGCCAAGGTTCAACAGCACAAAGATGGCCGCAGTTCTCAATGGCGGAGGCCCCATATTCAAAGACGGTGGTTGCGAGCATCATCACCAGCTGCTTTGATGTTTCAATTGATCCGTTTCAGTGGCGCGAAGCCAATTTCAACCGTACGACGATTAGCTACAGCAGCTCAAAGCCCTCAATTCGCCGGCGATTCGGTGAGGGTGTCGTGACACGCGTCATGTACGGTGGGGTGTGCATCGTCATGTGCTCTAATGCAGAAGCGGTGCGGGAGCTGGAGAAGGCACTCCACGTGGCGAAGTGGAGCACGACGAAGACGGCCAAGGCGATGACCGAGGATGTAAAAAAGGTCCTCCGTGGAGGTGATAGCAACCATAATAGCAATAGCAGCGAGCCCATGTCGCCCAGTGTATGTAGCCCCTCTGCAATGTACTGCGTTTTGCAATGTGTGGGTGGAATGGACATCGACAGCGAGTCTGAATCCGTGCAGCAGGGTAAAACTACGCATTCGGATGGGCTGTGCAACTGCACAACACGCACAGCTCTGACGCCATGGGTCAATTTAAGAACAATGACAAGAATTGCACGCATGTGGGCCCTGCACTTAGTGAGCAACCCAGAGCTTGCGGAGCCACTTGCTGTCTACGTGCAGAGGTTCGATGGTATTCTCCCTGCGCTGCATTTGGCAGTTGCCGTGGACTATCAGCTCTATCAGATAGTAACAGACTCCGAAGATGAAGTCGATGTTGATGGCGATGGCGACGCCGGCATCACTGCGTGTGAGCCCGTTGTGAGTGTGGTGGGGGGCCGCAGGCGCTCATTTTATTCAAGAGAAAGGAGCCCTGGTAGCTGGAACGCCAGTTTGATACGCTTAGAGACTGCAAGCACAGGAACGAACTGCATGCCCGTTCCAATGGTGCTGTACACTGGCCGTGCATTGACGCAATCCATCGAAGGCGATTGGGCGCTGTCCACAACCACACAGGATAGCTACATTTTTAACTACTCCGCTGGCTCCGATGTGATTGTCGCAGATAGCGTGGCGGCGTCAGAGAAGCAGGTGAGTCAATACCCAAGAACAACAACGACGACGACAACAGTGGCGCGGCCAGGTGTTGCTATGGCGAAAGGTCGTGCAAACCCGAAATTGAGGGAAATCATTTCTACCACCAAGTCAACCAAGTGGCCTGGCAACAAGGTGGCGGTGCGGCGCAAACAATCTCCCGGCACCGTACCACACTTCGCCAGAAGGACAGTACGGCCGACTGGGGAGGAGCCGAGGACGTGTGACCCACAACAGCAGAAGAAGCAGCAAGAACAGCATCAACTGCCTCCCCCCAATGAAGATGAGACACTCTGGGAGCGTGCCATGCTGGAGGTGAGGGCGCTGGACACTGAGTTTCAGGACGTCCTAAACAGCTGTCGTGAAGCAGAAGAGGAACTTCAACAGTGTGTAAGCACCCTGCAAAATCTACAGCGTGCCTTTCTACCCCTTTCGCTGATGAACTCTATTGAACCGACCTGTGCATATCTACAGACAATGCTTGAGGAACCAGCGGAGTTGCCGGAGCGGTGCGGACACTTTAATAGCCCCGATTGGCTCCCATGTCTCGCCGCCGTTCTGACAAACCCAAAGAACTCACTCCACTCCATAGAGATCTCGTGGGTTTTGACGATTCCATCGCTCCCGAAGCTTGGTATGCTGGCAGGTCTCTTGTTTCACGAGCATGCCATGCTCTCACTCCGAAGGCTCTCCATTCGCCTCGACAATCTCTGCGGGAGCGCTCAGGAAGACAGTATTGACTCTCCGAAACTGAACAAGCAAAAGCCGAAACTTGGTTCACGCTTGCGGCGCAAAAAGGATCTGGGGAAGGAGCGAAATTTTCCCGACGCGCACCATGTCATGATGGGTGGGTGCACCAACGGTCCGCCCCTGATTGTAAACGCGTTCCAAATGAAAGGTATTCTGCTTGCACTGACAGACGCCGTCGTGCGCAATGTCCGGGAGTTGCACTTCACGCTGCACCTGAAGGAGTTCCCCCGGGGAGATGCGGAGGAGGAGGAAGAGGAGGAGTCGCCGATGTTCCATCGTTTTTTGCGTGCAGTCGGGAATCACAAGAGCAGTAGGAGGGTAACTCAACCCCCCGATAAAATCAAAGAGTCACTGAATAAAAAAGACTCCGTTTCGTGGTCAGATCTACCCGCGCATGCAGCGGGTGAAAGTGGTGGATTTGATGATGATTATGGAGACGAGATTGAGCAGGCATGGCACGATGCAGAGTGCCGGCCGTATTCCATCTTACTACGCCACCGCGAGCTGCAGTCACCGTACCGGCCGACGTCATACTGGAACTCATCGCACTACGACCTGGCGGAGCAGCCTAGCAACAGCCCCACAGTAGGCACAGCGCCGTGGGTGTACGGGCTGCGCTCGCACCACGTCGAGACGGCGTTGCTCTGCCGGGCACAGGCGCAGATATGGGCAAAGGCAGCCCCCATCTTTGACGCATTGCAGAGTTCTATCATGCTTCCCGGCCAGTCGAGTGAAGGCAGCTGCGGTAGCAACCAAGCATGTGAGGGCAGCAGAGTCAACAGAAGTGAGATTGTCCTCCTGCGGTAAGTAGAGTATCGTAACATGATGCAGGAAGACTGGGAACACAAAAACAGAGAGAAACCAACGTAAAGACGGATAGAGGAAATGTGGAGATACGCAAAAGAGAAATGCAAAAGACAAAAAAAAAGGGAGGATTTCATTCAGTAGCCGAATTCGGTAGCGTCAAGGATGTCTACCGGGTGCTGTTGCCCCCCATCCCTCCTTTTTTTCGTGTGGTTCTTCCCCCAGATTGTGTTAAACCTCCTTTATTTGGCGGGGTACGACAGATCTCCCTCTCTCTCTCTCTCT